ACAACTGCTCATTGGCGAACTCCGAAAATTCCTTGTAAACAAGAGGTATGCATGCGCGCATTAATCAGTAGTCACCTGATTACCTATTGTTTCTCTGTTTCAATTTATGGTTATATATATATATATATATATATATATGCTACACTGCTTGTGCTGTGTGCATACTATTTGGGAGGATACATACGTTTACCATTTAATTTGAAGATGTTTCTTTCTCATTATGTATCGAAGATGCAGTTGTGGTACAATACTTCTTCTTGCTAGGGGATTTATATTTGATAAACAAATCTAAGATGTTTGTTTTTTTCATTATGATGAATCAAAGCTGCAGTTGTGGCACAATACTCCTTTTCTTGCTAGGGAATTTATATTTGATAATACAAATTTGAAGAAGTTTCAACGGGGACATTGTAAATCTTGAAAGTACAGAGTTATAAAGTACCACTGTCAGATTCTACCTTGAGTAGATGAATCCGGATTTTCATCCTTTATCTAAAAATCTATAAAGTACCACTAGTATGTAATTTTCAAAGACTAAACTAAAATTAGACATCACCCATTTTCAATACTAGTACAGTACAGATGTAGTGCCGCTCTTCTTCTCCTTTATAGACGATAGATGCTCGAAGGTTTACTTACTAACTCTGGCTATTAATTTGTACTATCTTGTTGCACTGGTAGGTTCTTCATCGTTACTGACGACGTATGGGACATAAATTCTTGGCAAGCATTAGGATCAGCTTTGCATCAGAACAATAACGGAAGTAGAGTTGTCAAAACTACTCGAAATCTAGAAGTAGCCTATGGCGATGAAGTTTACCAGCTTGGTCCTCTTTCACGTGGTAACTCAAAGAAGCTATTTTATATGAGGCTATTTGGTGGTGAAGACAACTGTCTTGCTCATCATCCTGAAGAGGCATCTGAAAAGATTCTACACAAATGTGGTGGTGTGCCATTAGCTATCATCACAATGGCTAGCTTGTTGGTGGGCAAATCAAGAAACGATTGGTTTGAGGTGTGCAACTCTCCTGGTTTCTATGGTGGCAGAGACAACAGGCAGGTAGATGATACTGAGTGGATATTGTCCCTTAGCTACTATGATCTGCCTTCTCATCTGAAGACCTGCTTATTGTACCTAAGTGTGTATCCTGAAGACTGTGTGATTGAGAAAAAATCTTTGATATGGAAGTGGGTAGCAGAAGGTTTTATAGAGAAGAAAACAGGAACAAGCTTGTTTCAGCGGGGAGAGGAATACTTCCATCAGCTCATAAATAGGAGCATGATCCAAGGGGTGGAGTCACAAGTGGATGGCACCATACATCGCTGTCGTGTTCATGACATGGTCCTTGATCTTATTCGTGGTCTGGCAGGCGAAGAAAACTTCATGACTATCTCAAATGAGGATGGAGGAACATCATCGCGACATAAGGTGTGCCGGTTAGCTCACCATAATAGGATACTACTGTTGGGTCAATCTCGTCCTAACAGTCATAGGGACACGACACAACTGAGGTCATTGGTTGCCCATCGGTGTGATATCCGTGGTTGGGTCTTGCATCCGAGTCTTAAACTCTTACGCGTGCTAGCTTTAGAGAGGTGCACATCATCTGATAATTTTGAGTATGACAGGCATGGGCTTGAGCATCTTGGAAACCTAGTTCATTTGAGGTACCTAGGGCTACGAGGTACAAAGGTCCGAGAGCTCCCAGAGGCGATAGGGGCTCTAAAGCTTCTACAGACATTGGACTTGGAAGATATCGGAGGATATGATATGCAAGTCCAACTGCCATCGAGCGTTTGCCTGCTAACACGGTTGGTCTGCATAAGATGTGATGAATTCACGAAGGTGCCCGATGGGTTCCTCCAGAAGGTTACGTCACTGGAGGAGCTACAGATAAGTGTTTGCAAGCTGTCTTTTGAGTCCCAGAGGCAATTTTTGAAGGAGCTGGGCAGCCAGAGCCAACTGAGGGTGCTCCGTGTGCTTGGTATGGGGAGGCTGGATGAGAGCATGCAGGTAGAACTTTTGAAGTCACTAGGCAATCTGCAGGAGCTCCTGCATCTGGATCTGTATTATAATCTGATTCGTAAAACTAGACGTGCCTCAGTGGAGTGGGACAAAGCCGTGCTTCCGGAACATCTCAGGCGTCTCCGTATACCAGGCATCTGGTTCCCTTGTCTGCCATCATTCATAGATCCCACGCTTCTCCCCAACCTTTGCTACTTGGAGTTGCGTTTGGATCATATGGACGAGGCAGGTCTGAGAACCTTGGGTGGGCTGCCAGATCTCCGTTACCTCTCCATTTTCCCGCCTTATGAGACGGCTTCTAAGAGCAGTCTATGGTAATTAATATTGCTTCCCATGATGTCTTCTTCCACAAGTTGAGAAGCCTCATGTTGTTTGGATGGATGGTCCAGTTGGCGACCAACCGTGACTCGACTAGTGCTTCGTTGAGAATCTGGACGGGAGGACAGGATGCTGCGATGGTATTTGATTCCAATTCCAAAGCAGAGGACGGGGGCTGCAGCAGCAGAGTAGCACCGGTCCCTGTTGCTGTGATGCCAAACCTCCATGATCTTGTGTTCACTGTCCCAGTCAGGGCTTTCTACGAGGATGGACACGCTACCTGTGACAATAATCTCGGCTTGGACTTGGAGTGCCTCCCTTCGCTACAATCTGTCGTGGCACATCTCGACTGTAAGGATGCCTTCCCTGATGACGTGAACAAGGCAGAGGCTGAGCTCAGGCGCCTAGCACAACTCCATGCCAATAGTTCCGCACTCAGATTCCACATGGGTAAAATTAATCAACGTAGGATGGCACGACCAATACAGAGCGATGATGAAGAGGTACGTACCAGTTGCCCAACTTGTTTTAAAAACCACATTCCATTCCCAATTCCACTAACACGTACTTCTCCATTACTATATTATTATTATATATAGTAACAATAGGTGTAGAAAATCAAGGGCTGCGGTGCACCAAAAATCTCCCAAGACGAATCAAGATCCCAAAGAAATCATAGCCCGTGATTTTTAGAATTAGTAGGACCATTAAATAAATTCAATAATCAGAGAAAAGAAGAAAAAATAAATCCCTGAAATCTTCGTCTGCCTGGGCTACTTGTACATATGAAGTAATTATCACTTTTCTAAGGAAAATAGATACAGTTAAGTATATACTTGTTACTATTCTCACGTACGGACTATGTTTGAGTACGCAAGAACATTAATTTTTAACATGATGCTGGTGTTAAAAGTGATCTGCTATGGCTAGTGACAAATCAATCACGTACACGATCAACATGATGTTGCTGTTCAAAATGGATCTAGTCATGTTGAAACGATCATTACAGATAATGTTAGTCTTTCAGCATTAAAAAATTATTTTTACAGGTATATATATCACACATGATCTTTATTTGTCAACTTACAAGAAAAGAACATGTTAGTAAAACAAGATAATTTATATCTCATCCACATGTCACATTATTGCATCAAATACCAAAGTAAGATCATGCATGCATGTATATTAGATTAACTAATAAGAAGAGGTTTCTCTATTTATTCTGTGTTTCTTCTATTACCTCTTCTAATTAAGAAGAGGTAATATGTAATAATTACATTTAGATCAATGGTACACAGACACTTCCGAGTACCGTACGGTTGTCTGTTGTTAATTGTTTTAGCTGAGTTCCACATGATTGCCATTGACCTTCATCAATCATCAATGCTAGACTAATTATGCTAATCAAAATTATTTTTCTTTGATGATTTTTATTGCAGTCTTGACGATTCAGCCTTTTGCCTCTTGATCCTCGGTGGGAGGAGTTTGCTGATTAAGTTGGTGGATCTCATGACGTTGGGAGCATTTTGGGTAGTCCTGTCTGCTGCCCAATATATATGCCTTATGCGTGGAGCTGGTGTCAGTCTACCGAGGAGTTTATGAATTAAGTTGGTAGATCTCATGATGTTGGGATCATTTTGGGTAGTCCTGTCTGCTGCCCCATATATATGCCGCATGCGTGGAGCTGGTGTCAGTCTACTACACGGTCATCTTCTTCCAACAATATCTATGTGCTCTTGATAGACTTTTGCATGCTTTAAACCTCTAATAATGTTGCTCGACGATCATGCCCCTGTTGTTCAGCATATTTCCTTTCACTCTAGCACTTGTACCTGCAAGTATGTTAGGAACATAAATGGTATGTGTGTTATGTTAAATGAGGCTTAAATTTTGTTTTCGTATGCCTCCGCATGCATGAGTGCCTACCCATCTTCAAGAGCTCCATCGGGGTCCAGTTTGCATTGTGGAATTTCTACAAGTGGTGAAGCTAGCTCTTTCATTCACTTCGTTGCTATGATCTTGGTTACTGTATTATTGATTTATTGTAAATTGTGGTGATGAACGTTGTCACGGCTCCCGTGTCAAGGCACCAAGGCCACAGCTTTGAGACGGAGTATTGGTCGTGCGACTGTTTTGATAGCTTAGGAAATTTTAAAATAAACAACATTAGAGATACAATATCGTACAAAATACAATGATGGAAAATTCATGATATATTTTTCTAGAACTTTTTTACTATGGTTAGGGAGGCACCAGGAAGCGTTAGATGTGTCTATGATTGGTGGACCCATATGAGAGAAGGCGTTGAGAGGCGTTAATGAGGGAGGCGTTAGATGTGTCTATGGTCAATGGACCCATATGCGTGGTAACGCCTCCCAACGCCTCAAAGTTGAGAGGATTAGGACTTCAAATAAAAGAGTGGCAATTCCTTTTTTTAGTTATTTTTTTAATCAAGGGTAAAACGGTAAATCCACAATTGTAAAAATAATGTTTTGAGTAGTATAGTTGGGATGTATAATTTAAGTACTATAGTGAATATTTGGTTTAAAAAAAAGATGAATATTTTCGTCGAGTTCGTTCGCCGCCGTCCGCAGCCATGATCACGGCGCTGGACCTGTACCACGTGTTGACGGCGGTGGTACCGCTGTACGTAGCCATGACGCTAGCCTACGGCTCCGTCCGCTGCTGGCGGATCTTCACCCCCGACCAGTGCTCGGGGATCAACCGCTTCGTGGTGCTCTTCGCCGTCCCGCTCCTCTGCTTCCACTTCATCTCCACCAACAACCCCTTCACCATGAACCTACGCTTCCTCGTCGCCGACACGCTGCAGAAGCTCGCCGTCCTCTTCCTCCTCTTCCTCGACTCCCGCCTTTCCTCTTCTCACTTCCTCGGCCTCGACTGGAGCATCACGCTCTTCTCCCTCTCCACGCTCCCCAACACGCTCGTCATGGGCATCCCGCTGCTCCGCGGCATGTACAGCAGCGGAGCCGCGTCCTCGTCCTCCGCCTCCACCGACGCCGGCACACTCATGGTCCAGATCGTCATCCTCCAGTGCAACATCTGGTACACGCTCATGCTCTTCCTCTTCGAGTACCGCGCCGCGCGCGCTCGTGCTCGACCAGTTCCCCGACGGCGCTGCCGCCTCCATCGTCTCCTTCCGTGTCGACTCCGACGTCGTCTCACTTGCCAGGGGCGAGATCGAGCTCGAGGCCGACGCCGTCCCCGTCGCCGCCGGCGCCTCCTTGATCGGCGGCGACACCATACAGGTGCGGGTCACCGTGCGCAAATCCACCAGCTCACGCTCCGAGGCCGCGTGCTCGCACTCCCACTCCCACTCGCAGTCCATGCAGCCCCGGGTCTCCAACCTCTCCGGCGTCGAGATCTACTCGCTGCAGTCGTCGCGCAACCCCACCCCGCGCAGCTCCAGCTTCAACCACGCCGACTTCTTCAATATCGTCGGCGCCGGTGCCAAGGGAGGAGGAGCAGCGGCGGCGGCGGGGGACGAGGAGAAGGGCGTCGGCGGGCACTCGCCGCAGCCACAGGCCGTGGCCGTGGCGGCCAAGAGGAAGGACCTGCACATGTCCATCTGGAGCTCCAGCGCCTCCCCGGTCTCCGAGCGCGCCACCAGTGCTGCCGTGCACGTCTTCGGGTCCGGGGCCGACGACCATGCCGACGTCCTCGCCAAAGGTAACTTTTTTTTTCAGTCACCACTTGCACTTGGTGTGACGATATTGTCCTTGATGAATAAAAATCAACAAAAATAACTATTTTGGGTAGGCGTCAGAAAGCGTTTCCAACCATTGTAAAAGGGCTCGTCACCTATTTTTCTAACACAAACTATGATGTCCTCGTCACCTCACAAAATTTAAAACTAAAACACAATATGTATACTAAGAAACAAAAAAGAAAAATTCTTTTAAGGAATAAATTGCACCAACTGAAATAGTTGGAGGGCATAAACTGAACCGTATGTTAGTTTAGCTGGTCATTAAGGACATAGACCAAACTTGGAGGATGTAATTTGAACTTTTTTCTCTAAAAATTAATAAAATATGAATTTTAAAATCATTAATCTTAAAACACAATCTCTAAACCCAAGTGATTTCAAATGAAAAAGTAGTCAGCTACAAAGTTGTAGATATTTGCAGGTACTAAAACTTTCATACAAAGCATTTTTTCCATCCGAGATTATTTATAAAAATTTAAAAATTAATTTAAAAAATTATTTGTAGTCTCGCTAGGTTAAGAAAACTACCGGTGTAAATACATCTTTACTGGCGGTTTTCTTAAGTCAAGCACTAGTATAAGTCATGTATTTACACTGTTGGTTCTCTTAAGGATGACACTAGTACAAATCAGATTAACACTGGCGGTAGGTTAAGTGAACCGACGGTGTAAATATATCTGGTGATCGCCTGCGTTGTAAATTAAAAAACCCCGAGGATAACAAGCTGATGTGCTAGCACGTTTTTCATTAAGCAAAAGTAGAGTGTTACAAGTCACACACGTCTCGCAAGTAATCAAATGATTACCAGTGCAGTCTGAAAGGTACACACAAGAAGCAAGAGAAAATGGGAGGGAGGACCCTTAGCCTCAAGACCATAATAGACTAAGCCTATGACAGAATCACAACAACACAATGGTAGCCTACAGTGCAGTGAAACCGTGATGGCAACGAGGTGAGCTTCCAACAACAGTGGCGGCAAAGTATCCACCAGGAAAAGTACGAAACGGCTCGGCAGCCAAGCATCCGCCAAGGAAGGCGATATGACAACAGTGGCAAAGCATCCGATAGAGAGGAACCACGGTGGCCAAGTATTCGCCTGAAAAGAGACGCGCAATTGTAGCGGCAAAGCATACCCTAAAGAGCAACAACGGTGGCCAAGTATCTGCCGGAAAAGAGACACAATTGTAGCGGCGAAGCATCCGCTAGAGAAGAACACCCGGCCCAGCCAGCCACCGGGGCCGCGGGAGATGAGCTGGCTGCCACCACCACCTAACCTGCCACAGCCAAGCGCGCGAGCCGGCCGCCGCCCCGGACTGGCCTCCGCTGAGGCTGCAAGCGCTGGCCGGGGAGCAGCGGTGGCGGCCAGGGAGTAGCCAGCGGTGGGGTATGGTTTCGGTCGCCCCGAGTCGCCTCACGGAGGAGGCAACGCGGGGGTGGGGTGAGTTTCCGTTTTCTTCTCGTCTTCGGCCCTGTAACTGCAGTCGGTGGCGGGATGGCACGGTGTTATTGGTTAATTGTAGAGCTTTTGTTTTGATGGATGGGTCCGGAATCATCAGATGCTCAGATGGAACCTCATGAATGGCGTTTGGTTTGAAATCATAAGCCAGCGCCGTCCGTCCGTCCGTCCGTCACCAAGTCGATCTGTTTCATGACTCCTCCAAGCCAATTTCCGGGATCGACTCATCCCTCAGAATAGTAAGGGCGACCGATGCTGCATGCAAGCTGAGCGACTCCATACCCGATGAAGTTAATCATCGAACCAAGCACGCTGTGACTGGGGCACATGGGCTGTTGTTGCGTGGTGTCTCTAGCTTGATCTATTATTCTAGGTGAACTCTGTTTCTGTGTAGCCTGTTTCTGTCTTTCTCTTCTCCTTATATCTTGAAGTGGTTACTTACATCTTACATTCGATCCATACACACCATCGTTTCCTATAATCTGCCACCTATGTATATACGATCCATACGTCACAGAATAATTCGATTCAGTTTCACCTGTTTCTAGCGAGAAAACTGTTTTGACGCCTCGGTTAGCTTGAGCAACGGTCCAGCTAATTTCAGATACTGAAAGGCTAAGATCAGAAAGGTGCATGACTCTAGGCTCTTTTCCCGTTAATGCTATATATAAATACCAAAAAAAAATTGCTGGCAGAAGTAACACGAGCATCTCTGGCTTATATACGCAGGAGCTGCAGTAGGCAGCACATCGTGGAGTTCCGTAGCGTTGCAACATGCCAGTAAGTAGTAACTAGCAGGATGGACTCTGCATCTAGGCATCCTCCATCTATCTTCTCTTTAACATTTGCCTCAGTATTCTTCTCGATCGTGCGATTGGGCCGTAAGGAAAGCCCAGCAGAGGCCTAGAGGCATTGTTGGTCCCAAGAAAAAACACAACTAAACATTGTCCCAAGATCTAACAGGAAAATCATATGCGCGTGCGTCCCTACGAGATGCTGCTTGTGACCAGCCTAATTGGGCTCGGTGATGCCTCGGGCCAAACCAACCTAGACATGGACAAGTCCAGATCGGTTTTAATTGTGAGGGATGTACGAGTTGATTGGGTTTGAAGCGGCCCATGTATACCACTTTACAAAATATTTTCTAAATACTAGATATGAGCCCGTGCGTTGCACCGGGTTTACGTTTTTTTTTCCGCACACCTACGTTGACGTGTGTGGCTTGCGGCTCAGATGCAAATATTATGAAATCTACATATCTAATTATATAGAAAATATAAAGCCTATTTTATGATTTTTATCACCTATATTGTATAGATCTAGTTTATAAAACCTATTAAAATTGGTTTTACCTTTTTAAATACTTGTGTGATTTCTTGTTATATAATTTTTAAGGTTGAACCGATTTGACAAAATGAATTTAGTGCTCGATCATATGGAAGCAGCAGTAGACATGCAAGAGTGTTGCTGCTAGTGTCCTTGTACTGCAAGCTACTCCCACTTTATCTGTATTTGTTGCAGATAAAGATGTCGGAAGGACACGTCTGTCTGTCGACTGAATTGTCGCTACGAGTTGCTGCTTGTGACCAGCCTAATTGGGCTCGGTGATGGCTCGTGCCAAACCAACCTAGACATGGACAAGTCTAGATCGGTTTTAATCTTGCTGGATCTACGAGTTGATTGGGTTTGAACCGACCCATGTATACCATTTTACAAAATATTTTCTAAATATATACAAAGCCACTGTAACCACTTATTGTAGCATATAAAGTTCATATATGATTACAAAGATTGTTGGGCATCGATAACAAAGTTTGTATTTTTAAATACATGCACGTCTTAAGATCGCAACAGAGGGAGTAGAAGATATTTATATACTAATAAGCTATTATTTCAGGTTCTAGCTCTCCATCGTGCATGTTGTATGCAGGGTATGTAAAGTGGTAAATGGTGGTAGCATATATATGGTCATCATCAGATCAACAACGTAACATAACAGTGGTTTAAACGAGATTAATGGAACAATAAAAAAACAGGTCCCTGTGTAAGCAACGCCGGATCATGTTCCCTGCTTGTCAACGCTCGTCGGTCTCTTCGCTAGCTACATGGAGATGGAGTAGATGCCGACAGAGAGCAGCAGCAGCCGCAGAGGGCAGTGGAAGGACAACAAGTGGTAATGGAGCACATGGAGGCTGTCGTAAGAATGTAGGATGGTAGGCAAGACGTCTCCACCGTGTGAGTTAGGCCCCGTTTCTACCTGCGCTACTAAAATTCCTGTCACATCGAATGTTTAGACACATGCATGAAGTATTAAATATAGACTAATTACGAAACTAATTACACAACCTGCGACTAATTTGTGAGACGAATCTTTTAAGCCTAATTAGTCTATGATTTGACAACGTGGTGCTACAGTAAACATACACTAATGGCAGATTAATTAGGCTTAAAAAATCATCTCGCAAATTAGCCTCCATTTATGTAATTGGTTTTGTAATTAATCTATATTTAATACTCTTTATTAGTATCTAAACATTCGATGTTATATGAATTTTAGAAGCGACTAAAGAAACAAACACTCCCTTATTTGGTGTGTCTGCCATTCCTATTGCCATGATAGCTGATTAGTACTGTGTACCGGCGTTGTTATGTCGAAACTAAAAAAAGAAATTGACTCCTCAAGGAGGGGGTCGATATGTGTTTATTTTAGGAGATCCTCAAGGAGGAGGTAGAAATGCGTTTATTTTAGAGGAGAGGAGCACTACTACGACGCCGAGGTCTAGTCCGACTCCACCGATGAGGGTGGCGCCGGCGAGCGGAGAAGAAACAGAGACGTGAGGAAGACCTGACAAGTGGGCCCCACCTATTGGGTCAACTTTAATGCACGCCACGTTAGCATAAGTAGTGGGCTAAGATCCGTTTGGACCTAGGCGAGACCTGGAACCAAGTTTAGGGACCCAAAAATAGCTTTTTGGTAGTACATGGACCTAGATGACACCTCACGCTAAGTTTAGGAACCGACCATGAATTTTCCTCTATGATTAACATTGACACTGGTATGATAATTAATGTCATGAATGCCATCCGTCTTACTACTACTCCGTACATGATGACAGATGACAGGAGCTGTATATGGTATGGGTGGTGAAGTGACAACCAATCATGCATATTGTAGCAGTGCTGGCTGCTGGCCATCCATCGCATCTCCCTAGGCCGACGACTGCACGGCTCACGGAGTCAGTCACGGGTCCCCTCCTAACTATTTTTTCGTTCAATTTACTATTTTTATACCTTTTAGTTGCTCATCTTTTAGGTTTCAACACGTACTATGAAGCTAGGAATATGGAACGACAATGAATCTATCATATTGGGAAATAACCAAGATCATTATTAAGATGTTTGAAGTCGGAAAATATATGTCTCGACACTTGTTTGCCTCTATAATTGCTAAATGAGTCTCTTTTCGAGGACCTGGATCCGAAACAAAGTCCATGGCAAAAGTGCTTGAAGATCTTATATCGGGTTATATGAAACATGCAATTGAGGCTGAACCAAAAATCGCTAAGTGGATATCTTAAACCTGATGTTCAAATATTATGGGTGGTAAAAAGCGATGGTTCAAA